ACTTAAAATATTTTATGTAGAGTATGGTGAAAGAAAGATACATAAAAATATTCTAAGTAGTTCAACAAAAACAGCAAATGTGAATTATGTAGTGATAATAATCCCTTGGTTGTCAAGCAAGGACCCTCCAGCCATCAATAATTTACTGAGAGTTTAGGGTTCACAAGGGGTCGGGTTTTATACTCATTTTTTTTTGCTAGTAGAATTAACAAGTATTTAATATAAGAATCTTACAAAGAAGGATAAATGATTATATTAATAAAGGAGTTGGGAAGGTCACTGAGATAACAGTGGAGGGGATCAGACTTGGAATGCTTGCTTCATGCATGAAACCTTACCATTACCAGCATTGCAAATCTTGGTGTCTCAAATCCACTGTCCACCAGCCTCCTGTTGTTCATCAATTTGCTCAAGTAGGCCCAGTAACATCTTCATTTTGAGACTTGTTGGTACTGTGTTTGGCATATTGAATATGTCACGGGTAGCTTGCCAGGCTTTGCCGTGTGGGCGAGATACTCTCGGTAGCTTGCCGGGCTCTCCAACAGTGGCAGTGGAATTGAACCCGGCATGGCCGGGTTGGCTGCACACAAGGCAAATGTCTGACTTGTTGTGCAATCACTGCAGCCCCTCAAACAAAACATTTTTTAAGTACAAATATGCAAAGATACAACAAAGTTCTGAAAGCTTAATTGGGAAGAAAAACAGGCCTGTAAGCATTAATTTTAAGATCACATAAGAACAAGATACTTTGTTGGCTGTGAAAAGGATCACTGTATGGAATGTAGAAAACACACTGATAAAGGGTGGTTCTTAGAATAGTTAAACCAACCAGTGATGGACACCTTTTGGAGGGGCACTGTGAAGTAATGTTGGGTAATATTGTGGCACAGCCCACATTCAGTTGTTTGAATTACAAAAATATAATGGACACATTTTAAATTCACTTGATCACTTGATCACTTGACATCGATTTGCTGGAGTGGGTGCCAGTAACGTGACCATTTGTCCCTCTCGCTAGTGTAGCCCAGTGGTGTCTGCTCACTCCAGGAACATGAAGAGCCTCGAACCATTCATTCAGGGTCTTGACAAAGAAGTCTGACCATCTCATAGGTGGGCGGCCACATGTTCTTTTGACGTCTTGTGGAATCCAGTCAGTAACGACTCCAGTCCAGCAGTTGCCTTCAATTAAAATATTATGTCTTGACCTTTAAACTTATTAACAGTGTTGCATTTAGGTGGCAGCAAAAGAACAGTCAGGAGCTGGAGTGATACTGCAGCAGGTAGGGTGTTTGTCTTCTACATGGCCAACCTGGGTTTGATCCCTGGCACCCCGAATGGCTCCCCAAGCCCTAACAGGAGTGATTCATGAGTGGAGAATCAGGAGTAAGTCTTGAGCATTTCTGGAAGTGGTCCAAAAATTTAAAAAAATGTAAAAACAAAAATAATAGCAATTTTAGGAATCATAAGCAACAGTAGTCTATAATGCTAAGAACACAATGACCCTTTCTGATATTAGTGGTTGTCAGGGGCTGTAGTTTTTGGATCATTTCCAAGTTTATGAAACATTGTGTTTTGTAGGAAAAAGAAGACATACCAATACATATCTATTTTTTCAAAGCTTTTAGATTGGTGCCCTTGAAAGACTTATAGTGAATACAAAATGGTTTCAAAAGCCCCTCAAGGTGAACTAGGGAGAGATTTTATTTACAGAGACCTTGAGAGTCAGATTTAAATTTTTCCTTCATTTCATAAGCAGTGATAAGCTGAAAGTAGCATTGAGTAGACCATTTTCAGCAAAGTACATAAAGATAAATTGTTATAAAGAAATAACAAACTTTTCTGTAGCAAATCAGAGAAGATGAAGCAGAATGTGACCCTCTGACTGAAACAAGTCAAGAGAGGAAAGCAGTGTGAAATCAGAGTCAGTCCCATCAGAGTCAGTCTCATCACTGATGGAGTCAAGGAGTCGCACGTCTACATGTCTACATGTCAGTCTTTGGGAGGGAACATAAACAGGACAGCAGAAGGTTTGGCTCAGAGCTGTATGTGAGCACCAGTGAGATGGAAGAAGTTGTGTGCAAGAAAAATAGGCCCAAGTTAAAAACAAGCAAGAGGAAGGGAAGTAGGTTCTGCAAGCCTTTGATGAGATCTTGTGGGGCAGCTGTGCAGTGCCAGGAAGTCTCAGGGTGCCGGGGAATCTCCTGTTTTACCACAATCCACAGCTTCTGTGACTGTGTGCTCCGCAGACTTTCACAAACGTCCACATGTGCAAAAATATACATCGATGTAAACAAATAAAAATTGTTCCCAATGAACCTAGGTGCTATGAGACATCGGTGCAGAAAGAATGAATGGGAAAAGAAGGGAAGTGAACAAACACGGGGAACATCTTGTGCCTCAAATGAATATGGGCCATATGCACTTTGGAATGGTATTGTGTTGCGCTATTAGGATGAACATTTTCTTTTCAATTTTGGGTAGGTTTAAGTACCTAGTCTATAGTTCAAATAGTTATTTATCTTTCATGTAGAAAGGTATAAATATAATTGATATATTAATATTACTAACATTAATAGACTTGGTATTAGCATAATTAATATTAATGCTGTTCCTATGTTTGCTTCTGCTATCCATTAACTAGTCTTATGGAATTTTATATAAATGTTTATATATAATATCTATGACAATATTAACTACAAATAAGTTGTGTTATTTAATAATCTTATAACTACACTTTATGAACCACTGTGTTTGCATAAACCTAGAACACTTACTAATCCTTACATCATTGCTAGGAAATAGCACTGTAGCACTGTCCTCCCATTGATCTTCGATTTGCTCGAGCAGGCACCAGTAACATCTCCACTGTGAGACTTGTTACTATTTTTGGCATATCAAATATGTCAAGCACAGCTTGCTAGGCTTTGCTGTGATGGTGGAATACTCTTGGTAGTTTGATGGGCTCTCTGAGAGGGATGGAGGTATCGAACCCGGGTTGGTCATGTGCAAGGCAAACGCCCTACCCAATGTGCGATAGCTCCGGCTCATTGCTAGGAAGTATACTTATAACTTATTTTAAAATAATTACAGAATCATAAGAAACTGCAAAAAAATTACAGAGAAGTCACCTGTAGTCAAGATCCAGCTTTCACTAGTGCTTATATCATACATAATTATAATACAATATTAAAAATGGGAAGTTGATATTGATACAATCTAATTTTATACTTTGATATCACTCTGTACATGTGTAGGTTTAGTACACTGCATTCCAACTATGAAACTACTCTATCATTATGGGATTTCTCTTGTCCTACTTTTTATGGTCATCCCTTCCATTTCTAGTGCCTGGCAAGCACACACTTATTCATAATTATTACAGTTTTGTAATTTTCAGAATGTGATATAAATGAAACATAACATACACCACATTATGAGGCAGTGCTTTTTTTATTCAGTGACGTATCCCAAGTCCAAACAAGCTGTTAAGGGTATCATTCATTTGTCTTTTGCATTATTGAACACTATTCTATAGTGTGGATAGACCAGAATTTGTTTAATTATTTGTCTGTTGCAAATGTTTTAGTCATTCTTGGTTTTAGGCTATAACAAATAAAGATTCTAGGGATTGGAGATATGGGTTGGAGTGATAGCACAGTGGGTAGGACGTTTGCCTTGCAAGTGGCCAACATGGCCGACCTGAGTTCGTTTCTTCCGCCCCTCTCAGAGAGCCCGGCAAGCTACCGAGAGTATCTCACCCGCACGGCAAAGCCTGGCAAGCTACCCATGAAGTATTTGATATGCCAAATACAGTAATAAGTCTCACAATGTTACTGGGCCCGCTCTAGCAAATCGATGAACAACAGGAGGACAGTGACAGTGACAGGGACTGGAGAGATAGTAGAATGATTAAGGTACTTGCCTTATTCTATGCTGACTTTGGTTCAATTTCTGGAACTGCGTTCTATTCTGTGAGTATCACCAAGAGTGATCATTGAGCACAGAGATAGCAGTAAGCCTTGAGCACTGCCAAGTATGTTCCCCCAACAATAATAAGTAAATCTGCTAAATTGGTGTCATTATTTTATCATTACCATTATATCTAAATATATATTATAAAGAGCTACATATTAGAGCTTAGACTAGAAAACAAAAGAAATTGTCCATAGCTATGAATAGGTATCTAATGCCAGATATTTTCACTTTATCTCTTGTGGTATTTCCACAATGCCACATAAATTAAGTGTAAAGTGTTCTGCAGATAGTATAGAAATGTAACAATAACATTTTTGCTTCTTCTTTTGTATTGTTTTGTTTTATGGCCTATAGCCAGTAGTACTCAGGATTTGCTCCTAGTTCTGCAATTAGGGATCACTTTTGGGAGTGCTTGGGAGACCATCTAGGGTGCTAAGGATTGTACCTTGATCAGTGACATGTAACACTAGCACCTTACCATCTATACTATCTCGCTGGCATTTTTACTGCTTTTTGATAAAACGCTGGTCTAAGAATCACACCTCAGATATTTTATTGCTTATAGCAATTTTATTGTTTATAGAATACTGTATGCGCACTGACTTATTTATTGACAGTTATTTTTTAGGTATCGACTGATGCCAGGCTCTGAGCTGAGTGTGTTTGTTAGATGTCTGCCACACAAACACCTATCTAAACTGTTATTTGAGGCATAGGGATTATGTGCTCCTTGGTTTCTAAGTTCAGTTGGAAAATGTTTATTTAGAGTTAATCTGATTGCTACAACAATGTTCAAATATGCATTCATAAATTTAAATTTGCTGAAAGACCTGGGTTAATGTATCCTGCTTTATCTTAAGAAAGAAATTGCTGAGTATGCATACACAAATAGATAATCTAATTTTGCAAGATGTTCGATCTAGTACTTCTTTCAGATAGGGGTAAGGCTCAGAAGAATTTTTGTTTGCAATTTATTTACAAATTAATGATTTTTTCTACTCACTCTGTGTCCTTTTCCCTAATAGCATAAAAAATTAATCAATCGTCCACGGAGTACCAAGAGAATTTCTACAGATCCTTTAGGTAATGAATATTTGCTTTTTTCTCATTATTGTGGCAATTTTGTCTTTCTTATTTTATACTTACTAATCTTACATTAAAAATGAATAGGCAACATAACTTTGAAATTGAACAACCATTAGATTGCACAACTTAATAAATTAATTTTGGAGACTGGGGGCATATCTCAGTGGTAGAGCATGTTTTTTACATGCATCAAACACTGGATTTAATCCAAGTATTAAAAAATGTTTTATAGCGGAGCAAACTAATTCTTCACTGTTGGATAAAAATATTTTGTGATGCTGTATTTGTTTGTGTATATATCTATAAAAACATATCTATACAACTATATATTTATAAACATATCAATATAAATGAAAATACATATATACACAATAGTATACTACTCAGCTGTTATAAAATATAAAAATAGGGCTGGAATGGTAGTACAGCAGGTAGAATTTTTGCCTTGCATGCGGCCAATCTGGGTTCTACCCGGCATCCCATAGGGTCTCCTGAGTACCACCAGGTGTGATTCCTGAGTGCAGAGTCAGGAGTAACCCCTGATCATCACTGGGTATGACTCAACAAGAAAAAAATAGTCAAAATGATATCTTAACTTTTTCCACAACATGTATGATGAATATACATGAATAATGGGGAATTATGCTAAGAGAAATAAGTCAGTAGGAGGGAGACAATACCAGCTGATCTCACTCATAAAAGTATATTAAGAAAAAAAGTAAGGGAACAGACCATGTCCAATGAAATCAAACCTTAGAATCTTACAGAACTGAGGTAGGTAACCAAGTAGGGCTGAAAGGGTGGTAGAATGCAATGAATTGTGATAGATAGATGAGGACACTTTGATGATGGTTTTTGTGGGGTAACATTACACAATAGTTTACAGCCTTGTAAGTTAATGTCACTGAAAAAATTTTAAAATGGATTTTCCTTTGTATAAACAAACACATTTTTAGGTATGGATATAATTGAAATGTGGTAAATTCTACACAAAATATGAACTTCATTAAATGTGATTTTACTCAGATAATAAGTTGCTTATTTTTTTAAACAGAGAACTATACTTTGTTCTGAAATGTTCACTATTAAACTGTAAGCCTTAAAGTGTGGACCATTCACTTACAATTGAGGGCAGTAAGTTTTCTCTAGAGGTATATTGATGTGAACCAGAAAAAAATTCATATTAGATTGCCATTGTACATAATTCAATTATATAGCAATGATACTTATGGCAAAAATTTCAGGTTGAATATGACACATTACATTTTATTCTTGCTTACAGTTCATTTTGTAATGTTAACAGTTACTAAAGTGAAAATATGTTGGTCTTCAAAAGACATTAGTGAATCAGTGAGTATTTTTTATATGGTGTCGGGCTCATCTCTGATGATTTAGAATTATAATCAAGGGTTACTTTTACAGATTTGTACAGAAAATATACAGACTTTTCAGGATTACTTAAGAAGGTGGAGGATGAGACTAAACAGTGTTATATATGCTAACAGAGGCAATAAAATGGTTTCCAGAGAGAGAGTAGGTGATTCAGGAAATCAAAACATATCCAAGCTAAAGAACAATAAAAAACCAAAAGAGAAAATGATCTCTAAATCAAAAGCAGCAGATGAAATCTCTCCACATTGAAGAAAGTTTATTTTTAGACTCTGTTGTTCAAATAATAGCATGCTCTTTACAGCTGTCAATAACCAACTACCAGAGATCAGAAAGGTGTTAAGATCTTCCTGCATGTACTAAGAAGCCTGTTCTTAGTTATTTTTCTATGGGGTCTTACACAACACATGTCAATCAAGCTGATGCAGGTAGGATGATGGTAGATGAGGAAAAAGCAAAATTAAATTATGAGAAGTTTTAAAAATTTAGTTAAGGTATTTAAACAATAGGGGGAGCCACAGAAAGATTTACTAATAAGCTAGGTGTATGACCAAATCAGCCTTTGAAAATGTCTCTTACTTGTGTAGAAAATTATTGTGAACCAAAACCTATAGGAAGAATAGGAGTCAAAGTCTCATTTTTTCAATATTCCAAAAAGAACACAAGACATGATTAAGATTGAGTTAGTAAAGCTAGACAAAAAGGGAAGTATTTGAGATAGTTTAAATTTAGGGCCTAAAGCGTTTGGCTTTATTGGATAAGAAGTTGTCTGAGAAATTTTAATACTATTACATATATTTCCTTACTCAGCTGAGTAGATTGAGTCACTAAGAACATAAATAGAACAAAAATGAGCCCACGGGGAGTGGCAAAGTCTCAAAATCAATAAATCAATGAAGTTGATTTAGAAATATGAACTTTGAATTGATTATGACATAAATATATACAGGCCCATATATGTGGTATATGTGTGTAGCATATTGTGGTATAAGTATATTGTGATATATTATTAATAAAAATTAGGAAATTAATATTGCACATGATATATCAGGATTTAGATAAAAAGTCAAAGTATAAAAGATTTAGGCCATTTCACACAGATTAGATGGTTAAGACAATAAAAGCTGATGAATTTATGAGGGGAAAGAACAGACATTGGGAACTCCTGAGAAAGGAAGGTATAATTTAGCAATATCAGGAAGAAGGGAGCCAGCAAAGGGGAAAGAGAGCTGTATTAAGAGAGGAGTGAGAATAACCAGGACATCAAGGGTAGGAGCGAAATGCTTTGTGGAACTCAGAGAAGATTTAAACTAAGAATCTGCTCATGTAGGTGGCAATTAGGAAGGTTCTAGGAAGGTTGGTAATAGGAGTTTAAAAGAGGACATAGAATTCTTTATGCAAAGGTTTAGAAGTGGGTTGATAGTGAATAACTTGAAGAATAAAGAATTAAAATAAATTATAGTAAATGTAAAGAGAGAAATAGGCCAGAAACTTAAAAGAATAGCAAAACAAGGAAAGGAGAGGCTTGAGAGTTTGTATATGAAGCATGGAGAAACCTGTGGAGATTAGATTAAGAAGCTTGCCAGGCTTTGCCGTGTGGGCGAGATACTCTTGGTAGCTTGCAGGGCTCTCTGAGAGGGGCGGAAGAATTGAACCTGGGTTGGCTGCATGCAAGGCAAATGCCCTACCTGCCATGCAATCGCTTCAGCCAATATGGCTAGATAGAGTATAGAAATACTAGGTGAGTAAAGGTGGAGAATGTAGAATTCTTCCCCACATCAGACCAGGGAAATTAGTAGAGAAGAGAGTAAGAATGTGACTGTGGTACAGACTAGCACTGGGGCATGGACAGAGAGAACAGGGAATCAGGGTTTTACTGAGAGAGATGAAACAACAGCAACAACAACAACAAAATGACAGCTAAAGAACCACAGAAAGATGGAATGAAGAGTTAGATTTATAGACGGGAGTCATGGGCAAGAGAATGGAGGAAATATGTTGAACATCTAGAATCTATTCAGAGGAAATATTTGTGGTTCTAAACAGTCTTAATGTCAGGGGAAATGTTGGTATAAAGGACTTTCCACAGAAATTCTCTTTTTACAGTGGATTGTGGTGAACTAATGGATATATTTGGACTCTGAATAGGTTCAGGAATTGCTTTATTTCAGATATAATTTGTGTATTGGTACTGAACTAATTAAATATTTTTCCAGAAAAATATCCTCAAACCCAATTCTTTTCAAAGGATGCTTAGGGACTCCAGAGTATAAATCATTTGGGAGCTTTTTAAAAACACCAGGTTTGGTTATCACATTAGTTTCACTTAATTATATTATCTGGAGAAGGGTCTAAAAAACATTTTTAACAAGATGTGATAAAAGGTTCAACTCTCAAGAGTGCTAACATCCACCATTAAGTGAACAGATTTCACTTAATGGTTCAAGCGAATTGCACATAATTGCTATATGATTTTATTGGTGGAAGCACACAATGTAATTATATAAGCTCATAATTAAATTAGCAATATAAAATGGAGGGAGGTATATATTTCCTAAGTGTATGGTGGAGGTTCTGAAACAGACTAGTTAGCAAACAACAGTGGACATCTAGAATACTGGTCTTCAATCACTGGACCTTGGACCAGTATTGGCGTACATAGAAATGTTGAAAACTACTGGTCTACTTCCTTTGATATAACTACCATCACCTCTTCATTGTAATAAAAATGTTGTCTAGAGAATTATTTTGCAGCCATTTGAGGGCAGAGAGGGAGGACTCTATTTTCCTGAATGAGAGTTCTTAGAGGGTCTTTTCAGACCTCGCTGCAGACCATGGTTATAAAGTGTGGAAGGCACTTCAAATCTGGACTAATTCAATTTACACATTTATACTAGATTTCACAGATGTCTCATCAGGGTCATCTGCTAATTATAATTTAAGTAGAGCCTCTGACAGATACATGTTTTAATCTGTCTGGGCCTTTCACATGGGTACTTTCTTGAGAGTTTTTCACACTCTAGTAATACCCTTTTGTGAGTTGCTCTTCTTCCGCAGAGGCCTCCGGTCTTTGATCAACCCGGGTTATTATGACTTAGTACCTACATCATCCAGGACCATTGCAGTATCAAAAAAATTGAACATGAGCCTGCTTAGGTCTCAGGGAAGTTATACTTTGAGAAGCATTTCTAACCCATTGCAGTGAGTAGTGCCCCCAAAATATGATGAGACAAATGTCAGAGATTCCAGTGCCTCCAGCAGCTAGTTGCAATGCAGAAGGTCCAAACCTACCTCCCAGAGCCCACAGCATAGCGCCTGCGGATTGCTTCTTAATAGACGTAGAGGCATAGGGAGGTAGCACAATCCCAAGGCAGCAGCTTAGGCCCATGACTGGCACGCACAAAGCCCTAGTTGTAACACTTGGACGACATCCCTCTGAACACTGCAGGGTGAAGCCCCAGAGCCCCCAGAGAAATTTTAGTTGTGTGGGCTTGGTGACCCTGAGAAGCACTTAAATAGCCCCAGTAGCCCCCATCCTGCTGGCCACAGCACTGAACGCTGTAAATCAGGTTGCGTATTGCTGGGGACGGTTCTCAAGGCCTCCTGAGCTCTGCTTGGAAGCATCCCTCCGACACCCTCGCCCTCCCGCAAGGAAACATCCTAACCCCGGGCTTGCCCATGTCTCTGCAGACGCGCTCTGGGACAACCTGCTCTACTGGCTGGCCGAGGAGCTCTCCGAGGAGAACGCCGCGAGCTTGTCGTCATCCCTCCCGCTCCGACGCAGCTCCATCCAGCTCATCAAACTCAAGAACCCCGACGACCTCACTGAGCAAATCCACGCGTTGCTTTCCTTCTGGAAAAGGTCGCTCCCCAACTCCACCGACAAGCCCCGCCTGCTGGCCCGACACCTGCGGAAGATCGGCAGGAGCGACCTGGCGGCAGAGCTCAAGTTCAAGTGGGAGAACAAAGTGTTCAGTGAACCCCAGCAGTGGTTCGACTTGGCCGAGTAGAGACTGGGCACACTTCCTTATACCCCAGAAGACATGCAAGAGAGGGGCTTTGGGAGGTCTTGCTCCACATTTTGCTGGCAGTTTTCAAATAGCATAGGTGGAAGTGAATCTAGTTGCCTTTGAGACAAGGAGAGATGCTAATCCGAGCAATTCTCTCCTGCCAGGAGACTATAAATCAAGCTCTCCACGTGCAAACCCTTCTCTGTAGATTGCTGGTGCTTGTTCTGGGTGCATGCTTTACCTTGGACTAACAAGCACTTCTGACAGAATTTCCTCTGTCTCCTTTGGAATGTCTGAGATTGCTCTCTCAATGTCAGGGAAAGGGATGATAGTATCACTTGTGAAAAATTCTTATCTACATAAAATGCAGTGAGTTATGCAGGCCCCAGGCAACTAATACACATTAGATACACACTGTGGAGTCCAAGACAAAATAAACTGGGCTGCAGAGACTTGGTATTGATGCTAGCAACATGGGCCTGGAGAGAAGACAGCAGATAGGGAGCATGCTAAGTAGACTAATTTGTTCCATCACCCTACATGGCATGGTGCCCTGCGCATGACTCCTGAGCACTTCTGGAGTTATCTAGATAATCCCCTTACCACAGTCCCTAACAGCACCATATCCTTGACTCCTGTATTAAACTTCTGTCCTAGTTGGCTGAGAATCTCTGCTGCGACCCCTGGGCAACCCTCAGCCTCCCCCCCCCACACACACATAGCAAGGAAACAGACAAGTTTGAAACGTGAAAATGAGAATAAAGCATACTATTTACTGCCACAAATATTTAAAACTCTAGCTCGTAAAAGAGGAAAGTCCCATATTTTACAATCAATAAAATGGGCAAGAGGAAGACAATGCAGTCATTAGTGAAAAAAAATTGAAGGTCTTTCTACCTACATAGGAGAACAACCTGCTTTCACATCAGTTTTACTTCATTGGTGTAGTACACAGGCCCTATATGTTTACAGTTGGACAATATATAAGTCCCTCCAAACTAAAAAAGTAATAATCGCCATCTCCCTTCCTCCGATAACCATCATCAATAACTGTTCCTGTCTGGTGTACCAGTTTGGAGACTCTGGAAACTTAATCAATTCCAGGAGCATAATCAGTGGGAGGGGAATGTAGATGCATCCACACCCCACCATGGGCACTCAGCTCTGGCCGGTGCACTCACAAAGTCACCTCAGCCAGGTTTCTGACTTCTCTCTAGGTGTGGATGATGGGGAGCCCTAGCAGGAGACAAGGAAGAGGGAGCAGAGGGAGTAAGACCATGGTCCTGGGAGTTCACCATGGTCAGGCCACTGCTCCTCTCCAAGAGGTGTCCTCCAGTCAACACTGGTCTCCTGGTTCTGGAAACTGCCATCATCCTGTCAGTTCAGGTCTCGAGGGAGTTACAGCTGTACTGCTCTTCTTTCCTGGTTGTTCTCTGACCACCTGCCCTCCTATTTAAGATCATCCTTAATCATCTTCATTTAAGATCATGGGACTGGAGAGATCATACATAGGGTAAGGCTCTTGCCTTGCATGCAACTGATCTGAATTTAATCCCCAGAACCACATATGGTGCTGTGAGTCCCACCAGAAGTGAGACTGAGTATCACTGAGCACAGAGTGAGGAGTAAGCCTTGCGCACCACCAAGTGTATCTCCACAAACCAAACCAAACCAAACCAAACCAACAAAGATCAAGCTCCAACATTCTTCCTTTGAATTATTCCTTGAGTGTTAAAGATATTCCTTATTTGCCCCTGACCTGTCTCTCTACACTTTTCTTGCAACTACAGTAACTTGTGCATATACTTTTTTCAGAAGGAGAATCATATAGTAAACATACAGTTATAATTGTTACTGTTCTTTTTTTTTTCTTTTTGGGTCACACCCAGCAATGCTCAGGGGTTCCTCCTGGTTTTGCGCTCAGGAATTACTCCTGGCAGTCCTTGGGGGACCATATGGAATGCCAGGGAGCAAACCAGGGTCGGCTGTGTGCAAGGCAAATGCCCTACCCACTGTACTATCGCTCAGGCCCCAATTATTACTGTTCTTTTAAACTTTTGAAATTGTTCCAATACTGTGAAATGATTTAGGGTGGCAAAAAATCAATATTAATTTTCACTAAGATGACTACTATATTATAATATACATAATTTTGAAAAATTTAAAAATGAAATAATAGAGTCTAACTTTTTATGTCTGACTTTTTATACAATTACATGACACCGAGTTCGATTCCTCCGCCCCTCTCGAAGAGCCCGGCAAGCTACTGAGAGTATCTCGTCCGCACGACAGAGCCTGGCAAGCTACCCGTGACATATTTGATATGCCAAACACAGTAACAACAAGTCTCATGATGGAGACGTTACTGGGTCCGCTCGAGCAAATCGATGAACAACGGGAGGACTGAACCAAACCGAACAACATGACACTGATATTCTGTGTTGTGTGTTCAGTAAAACTTTAAAATCCTCATTAATAACAATATTCTAATATATTTATATATTATAAAAATGTTATATCTATTTTGCTATACATGGATACTTCAATAGATAACAGCTTAGAGCTCTCATGAACAGTTCGATAAGCATCCTGTATATACCTTTTAATGAGCATACATATTTATTATGCAAAATATACAACTGAAAGTAGTATTTTTGTTGATCATAATTTAACCTTTTCCCTATTGTATATTAGGAGACTTTCTTCTTCCCATAAATTTAGTACTGTCATGACCATATTTGTATACCATAACCTTAACCATAACCCTATGTATGGGAATTTTTATTTTATTAAGCTAGGGATTACTTATTATGAAAATTAGAGGGAGGTTACTGGTCCTCACATTCAACCATGCTTAGGGACTATTCCTGGTTGTGTGATCCAGATGACTTCTGCTGGTGCTCAGGGACCTTATGCCGTTCCACATGCGGTAGTCTGCATGTGAGGCAAAGCATCTTAAGCCCTGTGCTATTGCTCTGACCCCTTAAGTTATTTTTAAGGCTCTTTCCATACATTGTGGTTGTCATTTTATTCAAAAGCATTGCTTTATGAACATTCATAGTGAAATGGTATCTTAAAAATACATGTCAGTGGTTGGAGGAATTGATTGGAATGGGAGATGTGTGTTGAAAGTAGATAAAGGAGCAAGCATGATAACCTCTCAGTATCTGCAATACAAACCATAATGCCCAAAAGCAGAGAGAAAGAATGGGGAATATTATCTGCCATGCAGGCAGGGTGGGGGGTGGGAAAGTGGGGATATACTGGGAATATTGGTGGCGGGGAATGTGCACTGGTGGAGGGATGGGTGTTTGATCATTGTGTGATAGTAACTCAAACATGAAAGCTTGTAACTATCTCAGCAGAGATTCAATAAAATAAAATAAAAGAAAAAATATGGCAGTGGGAAGGTGTTATGGTGGTGGGATTTTGGTGTTTGAATATTAAATGTAATCAAATTTTGTGAACTACTTTGCTCGAGCTCGAGCAGGCCCAGTAACGTCTCCATTGGAGACTTTGTTGTTACTGTGTTTGGCATATTGAATACTCACGGTAGCTTGCCGGGCTCTCTGAGAGGGGCGGAGGAATCGAACTCGGGTTGGCCATGTTGGCCGCTTGTAAGGCAAACGCCCTACCACTGTGCTATCGCTCCAGCGAACTACTTTATAAAAATAAAATAAAATTAAAAAATGCATGTCAAAATTCATTGGAGCCAGGGAGATAACTCAAGTGGTAGAACATGTGCAAAACATGAGGACCTGCCAAGTGGATTCATCAACATGAGTGAATATTACATACATAAAGTCGGGATCATGCAATATGTTAAATATTTGGAGAGCAAGAGTGAGTAAAATGCAGTTTTCTAGGGTTATGTCTTCTATTAAAAAGATAGTGAACAAATACAATAAACTGGATCTTTGAGCCTGACCTCTCATGAGTAGTTATATGTTTAGTCACCTAACCATCCTGTTCTATGGACGTAACACACAATTTTCCAGGAAAGGAAAGGAAACTGGGGCATCAAAAGGCAAAGTTCCTGGTATAAAATCACAAGTGAGTGACGGTCTGTATGCAAATGTAAGCTGTGGATTGGCTTCTATCGTATCTCGCTGCCACCATGCTAAGGAGAAAAAAAGAAAGAGCATGAACATATTCATGCCATCAACCTAAACATTCTCTACTCCTACATCTCATTTTGCAAAACAGCATGCCTATATGGAGATGTGGAGGCACAGGGTATGGGAGTGAGGTCAGGTAAGGGGTTTGATATGGAAAAGGGCATCTGTGTCTAGGTAATGCTCACTGAAAACTGTGAGGACTATGCGAGATGACAAGTTGATGATGCATAGTAGTAGAGTATATAGCAGCAGATATTACCAGTAAGTGGAAGTAGTAATCACTAATAGTTCAAGTTATTTTGCCACAATATTTGGCTTCTCAAACACACCAAGAAGTCTTGAAAATACTTACTGCAAAGTCCGTCCATTTGGCATTTAAAGCTTGGGCATTGTTACTGAGTTGGCTTGTTTTAAATCTTTTAAGGGTTAATATGCTTCTACCTTTTAAAGATGATCTACCTATTTTGAGTAATATCAATTTTATTAATGCAGTATAGCTCATTATAACTATCATTTTGCTAATAAGTAAGGGCAACATTTACCAAAGAAGTTCTAACATGTATTATACTAATTTATAAAACATATGTAGGAGTCATGACCATGATAAAAAGTTATATCTTCAATGCCAATTCATACTCTACGTAATGAATTATCCTAAAATGTAACTTAAATAATGTACTATATCATATTGTATACTCTGGAGTGTTTTAGAGCGGAACATCTTAAAAATTTCCCACTCATGATCCATTTTGGCGAGAAATACAACCTGGATAAGTAGTGCCAGAAACACCTTGGATGCAATATGCATTGGATTTTGAATTAATCTTTAGTTACTGAGTGTTTCCAAACCCTTTTCTGTTGCCAAATATTTTTCCAGCCTTA